AAACCACTATAACATTTCCCCCCCCCCCCCCCCCCCCCTGCCTACATCAAGTTTGTACAATAGAAATGTCACATTCATAATTTGCTTGGCACTTTAGGTTAGAAAGCAGTCATAGGCGCTGCACCAGGTTCCTCCCATCGTGCTACGAGAGCGCTTATAGAGGGTTTATCGGTTCACCGATAAACGACGAGAACACGAATCTGAGTGAACTGAACAAAAGGGATCCCCCTCTCTCCTCTTTTTCTTTTTTTGGATTTTTCCTTTTTTTTTTCTTTTGTTTGCTTTTCTCTTTTTGTTGCTTTTCTTCCTTTTTTTACTTTTTTTTATTTGTATTTTCCTCTCACAAACGCGCACACACCTGCATATATATATATACATATATAAATATAAATATAATAAAAATAATAGCACTAATAATATTAGTAATATCGATAATAATACTAATATTATCAACAACTAATATTAAAAAAAACATAATATAAATAATTGTAACGAATGTTAATACAAAAATTAACCTAATCCATAACTTATGGAGATCGGGCGGAGAGCTTGGGTTCGGTAGGCTACACGAGGGATTGCACAGTGGAAGTTCGGGTATATTGATGAAAAGGAGGTCGAGTAGGCTATGTACAGGTATGGGTAGTTCGGTCTCTGGCTTCCGCGTGCGAAGAGGGCGACGAGGTCGGGATGAGTTCGGCTTGGTGAGAAGCTCCAGGGCGTTCGGAGTTGGCTCAGAAGGCAGGGGTCGTCGAAAGAAGCGACGGATAGAGGAGGCAAGTTCGGCTAGGTCGGAGGTCTTCGATCAGCAAGCTCTGGACATGGGAGAAGGTCACATTTATGGCTTGTGAAGAGATGGAGCTCGCTTGCGTGTGGTCTAGCTTCTACTAGGTCTTACGGCACAGTGGAAGTTTCGAACAGGTGAGAGTATCTTGCGACTGTATGAAGATGAAGGTTGAGTCAAATGTAGGAAGGGAGTTGTCGAAGGAGAAGAGGAGTTCAGATGCAAGCAAGTGGTCACTGGAGTTTGTTTGAGCGTCTAGGAGGTGAATGAGAGCTTTGCTCTCATTTTTAACAGCGCGAAGGGGATGCGATCGAGGTAATCCGGATGGGCTTTGAGTAGATGTTGCAGAGAAGCAACGTTTCAGTTATGTCTGAACAGGGTATGAGCACTTTGGACGTAACAGGAATGAACAGGATTTGTGCAAGATTATAACAGGTATGTCCATTTTTTTATTTTGATTTTCTTTGGCTTTATTTCAGAGGTCAACATGTTGATGGCTCAGAAGGTTTGTATTGGTTGAGAAAGGTATTTTCTAGCTTAGGTTAGTTTATTTAGTTGGCATAATTTTAGTCTCGATTTAGTTTAGTTCTCCAAAAGGTTTGAGGACGTTATGGTGGACTGTTGTTGAATTTGATATCAAAATTTCAATTCGTCAAAGCCGAATATTTCTAAGCCAGACATATTGATGCAGTGGTCTTTGGTTTTATTCTATAGGATGCGGCTGAGGTGGCATTATTCATTTAAAAAAAATAAGGAAGAAGCTGAATCCTGTGCCTATATGTTGTGGGCTGTTTGGCGTGATTTGCAAGTTTGTAGCCTTAATTTTGCTTTGTGGTTGATAGTTTGTCTCTTTCTTGATTTACTTAAATGAGGTGGGGCGTTTCCTGTTGTACATTGGATTTGGTGATGAGTGTGCTTTTTTTATTTTGGTCAAAAGATGATGAAAGTTGGAAATGTGAGTTTGCAGAAATTAATTCATTTGCTCGTTGAATTTTATTTTCAAAATTGTATTGAAATTCTCATATATTTTCAATCATTTTATCATTAATTGGACTTATAAACTTATTAATATCTTGTTTTATTTTAAAATATATAACTTCACATAATTGGTAATTTGTTATATGTGCATTTTTTATTTTTCTTTGCATGAAAATATCCCATCTTAATATTACTTCGTTTCATTTATGAATCGGTTGTTTTGAAATTATTAATTGAATTTACATATTGTTATTGTTTGACTTAAAACAGGTTCCATTTCTTGATATTTGCAATACACTGTTGGACCCCAGTCTACCGCTCGCTAATTTGGACTATGAGGAATTTGGTGATCCCAGAATCCTAGCTGACTTCGAGATAATTCGAAGATATTCTCCCTATGATAATATATGCTTAGATGCTTGCTATCCTTCCTTGCTGGTAACAACATCATTTCATGACTCAAGGTACTTGTTTGCTTTTATATATCTCTGAATCTATTTGAGTGAGGTTTGCTTAAATACAACTACGGAGCTAAATGTTACAGTTAAATGCCAGTTTTTGCTTTTGTTTTTCACTAAATGCCAGTTGTTGCTTTTGTTTTTCACTGGCCATAGCTGTTTTTTTAGCTTCTGTGGCCCATACAACCTTTAAACTGATGAGGGGGGATCTTCTACCAGAGGGGTGGGAGGATCGTTTTGACCTTCAGGTTGAAGGTGCTATGCTTGAAATTTAAGCTTCCTTAGCTTAAGATGAGCTTGAAGTATTTAGAGGTTATGCCCAAAAATCTAATAGTATGAGTAGTATGGTAGGACATTTTCAAATTCAACGTTTTGCAAATATATAGATGACAAGGACCTACCCCGCACCTCCTTATAAAAGAGGGCTGCGATGTCTAATTCAACAAAGACTATGACCATATAATGCCTAGCAAAATGGGCTATCACAACATTCACATGTAAATGATTCTCTAATTTAGAAGCCAAGGAGAATCAGGTAGGTTAGTTTTAGTGGTGTAGCTGAAAATAAGATCCATACAAGGATGATAGGGGGTTCCATGGAGCAATCAAAGTGAGTAAACCATTTAAGCATGCGCCTGAGGAGGCCATTAATATAGTATGTCTTTCTTGAGAATAGTATAATGTAATTTGCTTCCAACGAATATCTTCTAATGACCTCCCGAGAGTTAATGAGCCCAACGAAGTAGTCAACCTTTAGCTGTAAATTAGACAAGAACTTGTGAATTTCCTCTATGTTTGGTTGACCCATTGAGAATTTGCCCATAAGTGAGAGGAAAAGAGGCCTAGAAAGTGCTTAAATTTCCTTGTTGAAAAGATGATAGTGCTTGCCTTGAAAGTAAGAAGATTGTTTATGTTGTAGGGTTGCTAAATTCTATTGAAATAGAAATAGAGAGTTGCAAGATGGAGAATGGTGAGTGCCCAAAATTTCCAAACCGTGAACAATATTTGTAAAAGAGCGTGGCGATTATTTAATCATAAGTTTATTTCGATTGTAGAACCTATTAGGGCATGTTTTGGTAAATGAACCTTCAGTTGCTGAAAGTACTTGCAAACCATATGAGAAATGATTTGGAAAAATTCTTTAATTCTGTTGGTTTATGCGTTTCTATATGCCTTCGATACTCCATTGTTTGAAAAAACTGTAAGAACTTGCAAACCATTTGTTAAATTTCCCGGATGTTTCATTGTGAAACTTATTTCAAAATATCAAAAAGTCTTGATTGGTGGGGGCAGGAAACTGACAACAATCTTGATACCAACTTTATTGCCAGCAACAAATAGTGGTTGACCATACTATTGGATCAAAATTTATTTGTGGGTAAAAAACCTCACCCTGCTAATAGATTTAGCAAGCCAGAGTAGATAACTAAGTGAGAAAATCAATAAGTTTGGAGTAGATAACCGCAATAAGCCGGAGTTGATAACTGCAAGGTGCATTATGTCATAACAATACATCACACTTACATCCAACATATTGAACATTCATACTGTCGCAACATACAAAATGCATTATGCAGACATTGCAATCATAATTCAAAATGACCTCTTGCATGCATATGTGATATGTAGAGGGTTTCATTCCAGAATGTCATTTGATATTACAATTGCATTTTAAAATGATCTTTTGCATGTATCATTAGGATGCAAAGGGTTTCATTCAAGCTTGTCATTTAACAGTTCAATCATAATTTAAAACGGCCTCTTGCATGTATTGGTAGGATGCAGAGGATTTCATTCAAGCATGTCTTTTGACATTGCAATTACAATCCAAAGTATCCTCCCGCATGCATTTGCAATATGTAGAGAGCTTCATTCCAGTAATATTATGCATACATATAACGATCATATAAATGCATCGTGCAAAATGCATTCAACAATATATACCCGTATGAGTCCTAGAGAGCATGTCGTAAGTACACACTTGACGTCTAAGGATACTACGCTAGTTAAGAAATGAATTTAGATATGAATCTGATCCTTTGTCAGTAAATTGTCAGAGTTGACAAGGTTCAATCAACAAAAATGTAATAACCTATAAAAACATTGATGATAGCCGTGTTGACAGAAAATCTCAATCGATGAGGACCCCTAAACATTATTCAAAATGCCTCCCAAAGCTTCATGAAAATCCAAACCTCGAAAATCATCAAAATAAAAAATATTTAAAATTGAAATAAACCACCTAAATGCTTAAAGCAAAATACTCATCCACCCTCTGCAATAATTTGTCAGGTGAAAAAATTAAAAGTCACTTCAGCTTGCAAAGAGCTAATGTATGGTCGAGAATATCACTAGAATTCATTCTCATTGTCTCTTACCAATAAGGACATGACACATGTCTTCTAACTGGTGGTTTCGTCGCCAAATGACACCATATTGATGGTTTCACTGTTAAATGACACTGTTATATTACAATCATGGTCATAGCTCGCATGTTCCCCAATGACGTTAAATCATTGAGTAATGAATCAATAGAATATAATCAATAGGGCGCAAAGCCCTCTTTCAATTAAGGTGGATTTAAATTTGTTCCCTTAGACAAATATTTCCCCCAGGTCTATAAGGTACCCTTGGACGAAGAGTCTCATGGCTGCCGACAAGGGTTCTTTTGTCAGGTTGGGTCGACTACCTCCTATGACTAAGTAGAAAAGGAACCACAATGGTCCGGGATGATGGAATCATGGGATCTTGATCGGGTTCATCATCATCCCCCCACCATTCGCTTTAAGTATAGGGTGACGATTTTTTAATTTTAAATATTAAATATTCAAATAACAAATGCTGTTACTATACGTCGGATACTCTTTGACGACTAGCCTTAACCGAAAGTTCACTTTCATTATCGGGAGGGGGATAATTAACTATTGGGGCTTGCGCCTATAGGAAACCAAAACTCATATCATAAAGTCGTCGTAAAATGAGGGCAAAATCTCTTAGGTTGTGTCTTATTTCAAACCCAATTTGCCTTTTGAAAATTTACCTCAGAACCTAGTTGTTAAAACTCTCCTTGATGATCCGAAAGAAAAGAAAGATGTCCTTGGAGAGGCCGAGGCTTGAATTTTCGTCTGATGTGGCTCTCTGCCCTTGACGTGGCTTGAGGCCCTTGATGTGTATCTCGGACAAGTCGTCTAGGGAAAGTGCTATGTGCGAGTCTTGGGAGTGTGTGCCTGGGGCTAGTCTCCTTGGCAATTGTGACGGTGAGCTATTGCTTAATTTGGTTCCTTCTAATCTTAAGGATATATGTGCTTGACACATGGCTTTTACACTTGAATATTTGAATATCTATCAGGATAATTGAAATGCTAACCTTGTATTTTGGGCTAATTGTTTTCTTTTGCTATTCGTTCTTGTATTCTTCAGGGTAGGAGTCTGGGAAGCTGTTAAATGGGTAGCAAGAGTGAGAGAGAAAACATGTTGCACTTGTTCTCGGTCGGTAATTCTGAAGACAAACATGATTGGAGGGCATTTTGGTGAGGGTGGCCGTTACAGTCATTGTGAGGAAACTGCTTTTGAGTACGCATTTTTTATCAAAGTCATGGGATTACTTGATAATGAGAAGAAATCCGATTATTTATAGAATTTAACTGTCATGATCTGACTGTAGATGATTATTAAAAGAGAGTAAAGTTTCACTTTCCAATTGTCAAAGATGACAAGTAATGAGTAAATATAAGCCAGTGATCCAATCTGGAAGTTGTTTTTCATTCTTTACTGCAGACATCCTTCATTGTAAACTTTTGATTTCAACTGCAACAACATTTATAAGATTGTATTCTTTTGTCAGCTGAACCTCAACTTTCTCATTTAGGCTTCGTTTGGGACGTCTTTTTTGCTGCTTTTTAAAGCAGCTTTTTAGTATAAATTTTTTAATTTTTTTACTAAAAAGCTGCTTTTAAAAGCAGTAAAAAAGCCGCCCCAAACTAAACCTTAGTATTAAATTGTTTTTCATTCTTTAATGCATATATTCTACTTTGCAAACTTTTGATTTCCACTGCAATAACATTTACAGGATTTTAATCTTATTTCTTATGTTAGCTGAACCTCAATTTCTTCATTTAGTATCAAACATGAAGCTTTTAGATCAGAAGATAAGTCTTGTTTACCATTTATTTGTATACGCAAACCATGCAACAATCTCTTAAAATCATACTCAGGATTGTTAATTTTCCGTTGGTTCTATAAAATTTCAATAATATTGGAGTCAACGGCAGTAGTTTGGTTATGGAACATTTAAGATTTTCTGACATCTTAGGTTTCGTTTGGGAAATAGTTTTTTAGTATAAAAATTTTAAGTTCAAAAATTTTTTGTAATAAAAAAAATACTTTAAAAAATAATAAGAAAGCTATCCCAAATGAAGCCTTGGTTTGTTTTTCAACAAATTGAAAGATTATCTTACAAAAATTGATTGAAGGAATCTTATAGTGCTTCCAATGAAATATCTTTCCTATTCAACATCTTCAAGAACACTATCATGATCAATGTCATTTTCTTGCATCAAGTTCTACTAAATAAAGGATTCTTATCAAGTGAAGAATAAATGAAGTAGAACTTTCGCATTGCTACCAACCCAACAAAATATCAGACAAGTCAACAAATGCTTTCTTTATTCAGATTGTAGCGGCTCAACATCCTATAGAGTTTAAGGCTTCGTTTGAGAGGGATTTCTTATTGCCCTCGACCCCACACCGTTGCAATTCTCCCCACTGGAGAGCGTAGCACCACAACACTGCAACCTAGAATTATTTTGCCAAAAAGATAGAGAACTCAATGCCTCAGCGCCACCTACCTCGGCATTGCACTGTTCTTAGGGAAAAAAATTTAGACTTTTCAATCATGCACGCAGTCCCCCGGATCCCCCTCAGAATAGATTTAGAGAATTATGAATCTAAATGACTAAATATACATGCAAATTTACCTAAGCTGATTTAGAATCATCTCACTTATTAAAATGGATGAAGTTCAAAGGCAAGTTAACTAATTAAGAAGAACATCAGTTCTCAATAGAGAAAAAGTTAGATTATACAAAATAAAGCCAGTGAGTTCTAGCTGCCAAAGCTATTCTATAGTTCACCGTTTGAAGCCAACCACTATAACTAAAACTCGATAACTTCAAAGTCGGCGTTGAATACTGAGTTACGGTGGCGACTTCAAATGATGAACTATAGAATGACTTCATTAGAGACTTCATCAAGTTTTTATAAAATTTTTACATAAAAGAATATGTTGATTCAATGATTATTGAGCTTGATCATATTTGATTTTATTATTGATAAATTTAGCTTAATAACAATAATGCCGAACTTTTTTTTGGGGTAATTTAAATAAATTAAATCATAAAATCAAATATTTACTAAACATCTTTTAATTAAAAATCTAAACTATCAACATGCTGATAAAATTGGGCAGTGAGCAATCTCAATCCCTAAATCAATGCGAAAGAGATTAATACATAGCTAGCATTTTTTTTAGTGAACCAAACGTAAATACATACATCATATATATAAGTTTTGAATACAATATCTCTTCGTTGATAGCCTAAGCTTTCAAGGTGGGCTCCATCAACTAGTAAATTTCACCCACTAAAACCAAAAAGTCAACATGTGGCACACATTTAGAGGTCCGCGCTTTATTGTTGCATTCAAATCCCTCCCTCATCAATCATCAGGTGAGAGTGTTTTCTTTGGCCCCACAAGAGACATGTGAGTTAGAACCTCGCACATGGTAGAGCGGGCCTCATCGCCACGTGACCCTATCACGATATTCATTTGCATCACTCCGCACGTGACCTTGTTATTTATTTTTTCTCGGGCCACTGTCATTGTTGTCGATAAAAGAGTAAAAAATCAAAATGAACATATTGTCACCGTTAGCGGCACATGAGGTCGCTCAGATACGGAAGACTATCGTGCACCAAATCGGCTCACACGTGAGCTGGTGCATTAAGCCATCTGAGTTGCTTGCGGGGCCCATTGACTCTAAACAAAATGAATTTATATCCATTTTCTTTTTTTTTTTCTTAAGAAATTGAGGGCCATGCCTAATATTTTTAACAAGAACATTATAATTTGTATATATATAAAAAAGAACACTAAGAAGCAAAAAGTATATAAAGCTGAAATAGAAAAAAATATATATAATTTAAAGGTAAAAAAGAGGCTTAGAAATAACCCAATAAATTTTTTTTCCCAATATTCAATGAGTTGTCATCCATGCTGATATAAAATTAACGTAATTATAGAGAGAATCCATCTAATCAGTCATAGAGATGTAATTAGGTAAAAACAAAGGATCTCAAACAACTAATAGCATCTCCAACCGAATGCCAAACGTGCGTATGGCATCGTTCGGTCGCTCCAGCCAAACGGCGCCAAATCTTCCGCCATTTACTTGCGGGTGAACAGTACGACGCCAATATTGGTGTTGCACTGTTCACCTACGCTATTTTGATCTCTCAACCGGAAAAACGTGCGAAAGGGAGAATGATCGTTACCTTCGCAGAAGTACTTAAAATGCAGTTCGATTGGAGCAGCACCACGGCATTTTGGAGTTTTGCTGTATTTTGCCGTGAAAAATGGAGTTCTCCGTTGGAGATGCCCTAAAATGAAGTGATAGAGGCCAAAAAAAATAAAAAACAAATTAGCCACAAAGATGTAATTAGGTAAGTACATCCACAGAAAAACCAGATGAAATCAGGTAAATACAAAGGATCTTAAATAACTGTAATGAACTGAGAGAGATTCATTCTGAAATAATATCGCAGTAAGAACCATAAGCTTAGGGAAATGTATAGATAGCTTGAGATCTAACAATAGTGCAATGCAACAACTCCCATAGATTGAAGAAGAAATGTATAGATAGCATCATAAACATAAATCATCAAAGAAACAAAAAAAAAAAAACCATAAAAGAGGGGAAGTAGCCCTATAGTAGAAATTAAGAGAAATAAAGTTGCTTAATTTTATGAGGCAAATTATGTGAAACGTCTTAAGTAAAAGAAAGCTAGATTCTTAAACATCGAGATTCTTTTTGCTGTAATGGTTGAAATTTCATTTAAGAAACTCCACAGTTAAGTTTGTTCATCCTGAAATAATTCTAGGATAGGTGACCTACAAGGAAGTTATGCCAACATGACAAAATCATGGGGCACTTAGGCCAAAGCAAACAATATCTTGATAGTTAAGAGTTTGGATTGTTACAGATTATCCATCACATTTCCAAGCTAACAAATATTATTAGTAATGATGTCTCTATTGGTCAATTAATTTATTTTTGAAATATAATAATTATTATTTTTTCAAATATAGTAAGAAATAGCGGACCCTACATAGTGCGATAAATGTTTGATGTTGTATAGTACGTAGTAATATGCATAATCAACAAATATAAGTTTTAAATATTTTTGCAATTAATTTAAAATCCGATGATGAAGGGAGGCACTTAAATGAAAGAAATTTTCGGATGCAATTTTAAGCATCAGTAAGGAAACCGCACAATCAAAGAAAAAATATGTGTGGATTTCATTATAATGCATGCATAAAAAATAAGTTTAATTCACTAAAATTCCTTTTTCTTTAAAGAGCATCAATAGTTTGAGCCTATTTTTCAATATTCTCCAGGCCAAGAAAGTATAGTTAATTGAAAAACTCACTGAAGGATTTCAATAAGAGACTATTTCACGAAAAAAAACACATTATAAGTATTAGGTGTCTAAGTTTTTTATTCTAAAATCAAATGATGTAGATGGTGGAAGCATATGAATATGTATCTCGACCATGAAGACCCTTTATAAGACCGATGAGAAAGAAAATACAAAAAATATATATGAAAATTAAAGAGAAATGGGGACAATATGATTAAAAAAATCATGAACAAAACAAGATCATTCAATGTTGAAAAACTCATCGAATGGTCTCAATAAAAGGAATTTTCACCAAATAATATCCTACATGTATTAGGTGCCTAGTTTTTTTATTCTAAAATCAAGTTATGTAGATGATGGACACGCATTTATATTTATCTCAGCCATTGTGTAAAATGAACAAACTATGAAGAAAGTGAGAAATGAATGCAAAGAAATGGAGATGTGCAAAGAAATGGAGATGTGATAGAAGTATTACTTACAAAAATAATAACATAAAGATATATATAATTATAATTTATAGGAAGACTTATAAGGAAGAATAGGAGAGAACCTCTAAATTTTACCTTTTCATTGCTCTCAAACAACACTCCCTATTTATAACATTCTCATTACAAATCCATGTATAAAACAAATGCATAAATTCTTTGTAAAGAGGGAGAGATCGGCCACTTTGAGGATCTAAGTAATTTTTAATTCAAAACTTGCTTGCTTGATTTTCATGCTTCTTCTTATATTTAGCTTCATACTAATTAATATTACGATGAGATCCTTGATTGGGTAAAGCATCCAAACTTTCCATACTTGCATATGGAGGCATAGCTTAAGTAGGGAAGATTAGGGTGGTCAAATTTTCACATTTCCTCCTTTCTATATTTTAGTCAATTTTAATTGAAAGGAGAGACTTCTATCCATATTTTTGTCTTCATGATGATTGATACTCTCCTTGATTGATCCATATTTGATGAATGTGATAAATAACAAAATCTTTATTTCTTCTTCGAATGACAATAATAAAAATATTCTTCCATCTTTGTATGATGTTGATAAACTTGTTTTATCTTTATTTTGATTATAATGATAATGAAAATCAACTCCCCTCTACTACTAATAAATTAGACTTTTACAGCACTTTTTAGGATCTACT